AAAAAAAAAAAAACTGGGCGCTGGTGAAAATGTGTGGATATCATTGTGATTTACTGCACATCACTACAACCCTTATAAATAAAACCTTTTTTTAAACTCTTTGCCTTAAAACTCAACGATCATGTTAGCAACTGTACAAAGGAATGAAACGGAGGTACCAACTTAGCTTAAAGAGGGTCAAAAGTGGACAAAAACAGCAGGAACACAAAAACAAAAAACTAAAATAAAGTTGGGACGTTGTAGGAGAGGGTGTGACAGGCAGGGCTGAAGCCAGGGGAGGTTAGTGGGAATGGTCCAAAACAGCACGCCGTAACATCCTGATACTTTTCTTCTTAAAAAATAAAAACATCACTCAGTCCACCAACCACCAGGCACTGATTTCTTTTTTTTTTTTTCTTTTCTTGTCTGACTGGGGTAATGCAGGGCCACAAGAAGCTGCAAGCAGACCACTGAACCATGAGCAGTTATTACAGTTCTGCACAGAGGGGATGTTTGACACACCCGAGTACACCCCCTCACCCACCCAGCAGTGAGGATGAAGAGGAGGAGAATGAAGATCTGAAGAGAAACACCGACTGCAGTGCCGCGTTTCGAACATCCTCCCCGTTTCCACGCACCGACCGACTCGGTGACGCGTGAACGGACAGAATGAAGCTCTAAGTCTGCAGATGAGTTAAATGAAGGACAGGCTAGCTAACGACTAGCTGCCTATAGGTGCTGATTAGTCTGGATGTCAAAAGCTTTGATAGGCATGGCTTTCCATGGCTTCCATCTACAAAACATATTTACAACATAGATAATAACATCTACAAGAAATCTACATTTGTCCCGTCGTGGGCTTTTTTTTYCCGTTTTTTGTTTTTACAAAACTACGTCTTGTAAATCAAACTTTCGTCCTCCCACAACCATCGCTCCTCGCTTCTTCTTTCACCAGCCCAACGGTCCAAGCCGACCTAACTCAAACTCCTAGGTGTGTGTGTGTGTGTGTAGATGTGTTAAGACTGGGCTCAAGAGGAACTGCTTTCTTCAGCTTTCAACTATGTGCAATGGCTCCTCCTTCCCTCCCAAAGCCTCCCTCCCCCTCCTCCTCCTCTTCCATSTGGCATCCCAAAGTTCTCAGCCCATGAAGGAATTCTGATTCTTCAACTTTTCAAGTTCTTTGATTTGCTGTCTTAGAAACAATATCCTGTGGGGAAAAAGAGAAAGGAACCAGAATTAGAWGGTGGAATGTTTGGAACGTGGCGACAAAACATGCAGCGTGTCCTCGCCTCTGCTCGCGCAGCGTTGCTTGGATTTCACAGACTCTGACCAAAGAGCGCAGGTTTTTCAGCTCCGTGCAGTTCTCGGACATGCAGATGCTGCCCATCGTGTGAGCTTCTTCACGTAGCCTCGACGCCTTTAAAATAAGATTTGACGAAAAAAAAAGTTTGAGTCGTTAAATGTTGACAAAAAGAAAAAAAAACTGAAGGTGGTTCTGACCTGTTTCTCTGCATGCTCTGCAGGCCACCCCTGCACGTGCTTGATAAGGTTCTCATTGAAGTGGGCAGCCAGGGTCGGGGTGAAGGAGCAGGGGGGCCGAGCTGCTGAAGCGGTCGGGGGTGCAGAGGCAGAGTTGGGGGCGTTGCTGCTGCTGCTGCTGGAGGGGACGTGATTGGGACCTGGGGAGGGACTTCTCTGACTGCTGCAGAAAAACAAAACAAAACGAGCATTCAAATATGGTCTTGTGTCTTATTTATAGGGATCCATGATTAGTTCTAACGTTAGAATTTATTTGATAAACATTTATTT